TACTCGCTTTTCTCGACTTGAGCTGAAAGTTAAGGCCAACATGTTACACTAACGGAATATGTATGCAGACCGAGAAGGTGCTCGTGGTTTGGTTGGCATCAAGAATCACTTTAATTCTTCCTATATTAGGAAGCATCCATACCAACACACACTAACACTGTTTATTATAAGCACATGGTTAAAGGGATATTTCACCCAAAAATGGGGGGGAGGGTGGGTGTTTGGTGGTTGTTGATTTCTCGGTTGAAATTGTGGTCCGGGGGCACATAGACCAGACCGAAAGGGCACTTTAGCATCGGCAATTGGACTCAGCTATTCTTTCAAATTTAGAACCCATCCATCCTTGTCCTCAACATGTTACGGGCCAAGAAGACTCATGGGTCATTGGCATCAAGAATCATGGCGATTTTCAAGAACTATAACAGTAATAAAACAAGAAAAGCACCAGACACAGTACAAAAATATCTTCTCTTCCTCTTTTTCCACATGGATTGTTTCTCAATCCGTCATCCTCTCCGTCTCCCTGGCCTCAGGACTGGGATGAACATGTTAATATGGGCTGCCTATGTTAGGACAGCTCAACTCTGAACCCTCATGTGTGATCTGCCCATAGGCTCAGTCTGGTATGCAGGCCCACAGGAACTCAGCGGCCTTTATTACAGCATGCCCTACAACTCGCCCTTCAGAAACGTCCTCATCACCTGCCCTTGTGACTAATCTACCCTCGAGCAGTCCTGCAGGGCTGCCCTCTGGTCTAAATGCTTCATCAACCCAAGGACAGACGGAATAGCAATCAAACAACAAAACGCCTCGAGGATGTTGAGGCCAGACAAAGAGCAAGCAGAAAATGCCACCCTTTCCTCAACCGCTGCAAACAAGAACTTTTTATTTTATCCCGATGAAGATCCCTACAGAATGACACCACAGGAAGCTTTTATTTAGAAGCGAACGGGGAGCAAGGACGAGGTATTTTGCTGTCAGGACGCGGGGGTGGGGGAAGAATGAGTGGAGCCATTATGACATGGCTGCCTCCCGCTTTGGGCCATGCTGCCCTTCAGGCACATTGCTGTGGAGATGAAATCTCTGACTGGACCCTTCAGAGCAGGCCCAGCCACGGACCCCTGGGCGAGGACCGACCCCTTTAGAAAAGTCATAGAGCAAGCAGAAAATGCCACCCTTTCCTCAACCGCTGCAAACAAGAACTTTTTATTTTATCCCGATGAAGATCCCTACAGAATGACACCACAGGAAGCTTTTATTTAGAAGCGAACGGGGAGCAAGGACGAGGTATTTTGCTGTCAGGAAGCGGGGGTGAGGGAAGAATGAGTGGAGCCATTATGACATGGCTGCCTCCCGCTTTGGGCCATGCTGCCCTTCAGGCACATTGCTGTGGAGATGAAATCTCTGACTGGACCCTTCAGAGCAGGCCCAGCCACGGACCCCTGGGTGAGGACCGACCCCTTTAGAAAAGTCATTCACTTTGCTCCACATTGAGGGGGTGTGTGTGAGCTTCTGCGCACGAGTTGGGAGGGGGCACCGCCGAGGGCAACGTTGAGTTGGATGTGAAAGACAGAAATGATGGGCTGAAAATGAAGAGAGGAGACGTCTATTTGCCTACATTCTGGACGTGTGAGATGCAAATGTTCCTACCTGTGATGCCAAAAATTCATCTGTGAAAGCATCAGGTTTGCTGATCTGTTTTGGTTATGTTTTATGTGGGTGGATGAAGGTAATCCATAGTGAAAGAGGTCGGCAGTGCATTCATAGAGCAGAAATAATGCTTTTATTTGGTTATTTATGCTCTCCATAAAGGGACATTTAGTGCCCTTCACAGCAGCAGATTGCTGCAATGCAAGTAAATTGAAGATCTAAGCCATGTGGCGGGTCATTAGAGCACAGCCCCTACTGTTATTGTTGATAGTGGTAATGATCGTTTATGTGCGATATCTTCTGACACGTCTCTTATTGATAATATGCCATGGGCAGCAGCATGTGAAGACAGTATTTACACAGAACTGAAATGACACTGGCTTGATTTACTAAATTAGCAAAAATAAGCTTTGCTCAAGCAAAAAATGTAGTGAGCATGTGACTGGTTGGGGCATTTGTTATAGCCATACATTTTCATCTTATTACCATGAGCTGAGAAGAAATAATGTTAAAGGCATTCTTTTATGTTAAATAATGTTCTTCTTCTTACACTGCTGTCAAACTTTTTATTAGGGATGCACCGACAGGATTTTTTTTTGGCTGATACCGATACTGATTTTGACAAACAACTATTGGCTGATTCCGATACCGATATTGGTCAATTGCATAAAGCAGGGCTTAAAAACGAGAGAGAGAAAAAAAAAGATTGGTTCACTCCGAGCAGAATCAGTATTTGAACGTTTCTGTTCCTGTGTTCCTCTGTGAAACTGGTTCGAGTAGAAAACATACCGGTTAATAACGTTATTTTTACAACTTTTTCTTTGCCAATAATAATAATAATAATAATAATAATAAAAGTACAGCGTTTAATTTACTCAAAAAGAAAAAAAGCTTAGTCATAGCCAATACAGCATCATCTTTTCTAGATTTATCAAAGAACAAATGTATTAAACAAAAGAAAAAACTGTCAAGGCAATAAAACACATTAAATAATTATTTTCAAGATATTTAAAAATGTTTCAGCATGGATTAAAAAAAAAACACTACTCCTATAAACGTTTCGAGAGGGAAAAAAACAGCCTAAATTAGTAACAAAACTGAAGCCTACCTGTCTCAACCTGCACAAATCAAATGTTTCCATATTCGCGAAGTATCTGGATGCTAACCTATTATTTATTTTTGTAAACTATAGGCTTTGTTCTTCACTCACATTATCGACGTAAAACATCCTCCTTCACATATAGGCTATATCAGCATTGAGGCGCTGGTCACACTGAACGGCACAGACTGTACTACGGACTATTTAAATTGAGCAGTGTAACTTTTTATGTTTCTTTAACTATTTTATTTTGATAATGAACAGACTGCGATGTCAAATTAGCAAAAATTTGTTGTGTGTGTGTGTGAGGCACCGACACGATCACTGCATTGTTTTCCCAACTGTTACTCTGTAATTTATGGTCATACCAACGCTGGTTTGTCATACAGATAGAAGCAAAACATCATTCAAAACTGTAAAGCTTTTGGAAAATAAAGAAAAAGTTTTCTGCCGTCTCGTTTTTTTTCTTCGTGAACTTCGGAGCGCGTTACAATTATCTGAAACTCAGCACAATTTTTTTTCTTTCGTTTTGTTAATCTGTTAATGATTTAAGTGAAATATATTTTGTGTACAGGCCTATATATTCCTTTTTATGTAGCTTATATAGTTTTATTCAGTTTTCTCCGTTCACAGAAACGCTGCAGGTGCGTGATGTAACCTTGTGTGAATCCGTGTTCTACACTGGTTTCAAACAAAAAGCTGCATATTACCTGCCATTCATTTCACTTAAATGTAGGCCTAATGCTTGGCGGTTCGTGACATATCTTCGGATAAACTCTAACGCCGGTGCATTGCCATTGCGACTTACCTATAATGAATTTACAGCTGAGAGCAGGCATTTCACTCGTTGGATGCGTCAGCGTCACGTTTGCATAAAAACGTTGGATTATGCAACAGACATACAACTCATTGTCTCCATGTAGTTAATTAATAAACCATCAGTATCGGCCCTTTTCATGCTATTTCCGATATGCCGATGGCTTTAAAATAATAAAAAATCTGACGATAAATATCGGCGGCCGATACATCGGTGCATCCCTACTTTTTCCATTTTATAAACTTATTTAGGGTCATAACATTTTTAAATGTTTTTGAAACAAGCCTCTTGTGCACACCAAGGCAGCATTCATTTTTATGAAAGCACAGTAAAAACCGTAATATTGTGAAATAATATTAAAATTTAAAATATAACCAATAACATAAAATGCTGATTTGGTGGTCAAGAAAATGTTTTTATTATCAATATCGTTGGTTATCATTTTGTGGAAATGATGAGAAGATTATTTTTAGGATTAGTTAATGAATAGAAAATTCAAAAGAACAGCATTTATTTAAAACAGAAATCTTTTGTAACATTATAAATGTCTTTACTGTTTTGTTACTTTTTTTGGTAACCCTTTAGGGACCAATTTTTACTATTAACTAGTTGCTTAATAGCATGCATATTAATAGCATATTGGCTGTATATTAGTACTAATAAAGCACATATTAATACCTTATTCTGCATAACCATATTTTAGATCACTTAATCCAACCCAATACCTAAACATAAGTACCTTACTAACTATTAATAACCAGCAAATTGGATGTTTGAAGCAAATGTCATAGCTAATAGTTAACAGTGAGACTTGGTCCCCAAATTAAAGTGTGACTCCCTTTTTTTGTAAATTTTTTGTTACCCTTACTTTCGAAAAAATAAATCCATCTTTGTATAATAAAAGTATTAATTTCTTTAAAAAAAAAAAAGAACTGACGCCATATATAATTTATTATACTAATAGTGTTACCATAGTTTTTGACAACATTTGAAGTTCTCTGTAATTCATTCTCACACAAAAGTACAAAATCTTGTAGTCTTTATTCCATTTCATGTTTCTATTTTGTTTATAATGTGAACCATCTTAGATCTGGTTATTTGGTTTATGGCTTTAAAGTCTTTGTCTTTATTAAAGAATAATGAAGAATAAAAAAAATATTGAAGCAACTAAAACTGGACGGTCACTGCTGCACTATTTTAAACTTATGAAGCAAAAGCTTAAAATCTTGCCAATGATGACGACAATTTTGTATCCTTAAGATTTCCTTTTGTTGTCAATTTTGAATATTTGCTGGATTTGAAAAATCCCTTTCTTGAGACTTTGAGAGGGAAACATCTTACACTTCAGGAGCTGACATGCTTTAATCTAATTGGCGTTGGCCCACATGAAACTTAGTATGGAGGTCCATATAAATAAGGGCCTGAGGGTCTTACCTCTGCACCTGCCGAGGCCCCAGGAGAGTCAAGCTTGCGTTTCTTGCGGGGTCCGATGGCGGCAAGGGCTGTGAGGTTGGCATCCCGCTGTCTCATCTGGGCGAGTTCCTGCTGCTGCATCTGAATGGCAAGAACATTCAATCAATATTAACTGCATGAATGCTATATCAAAGCCATTCATGCGAAACAGACAATTTATACATTGTGTAGGACTGTGAATAACAAGTTCCCAAATAAGCATTACTGTGTAACACATTCCCTTACTTGAATTATCATTTTCAAATATTTGTATGCTGTGTATTTTACATTCATTCTAAACTGCCCCGAAGAGCTCTATAGAGCAAATGAAGCTCCAAACATCACGCACAGCTTCAATGCAGCAAATAACTCAGAGCTTTCGCCGTATCTGGGTGCTTAATTCAATTTCTTTCCACGAGGGAACGAGGGAGAAAGTGAGTGAGTGTTTGAGAATGAGAGAGCGAGCGATTTTCAAAAAGCACAGCCCGCAGGTAAAGTCATCTCAACCTAGCAGGCAGTGACAGAGCCAGCCACGCCGGGAGGGGTGGATGAAGAGGGGGCTGCTCGGAGTGAGCGCTGCCGGGCACAGAATGCAGAGAGAGTCCTTACCTCTCCTCACCCTGACACTCACACCACTGTGGCCATTAACTCGAGAGAGAAGAAAAAAACAAAAAAAAAAACAAGAATGGCTTTGTGTGTCATCGATGGCCCCATTAGAAAGTGCATTCACCGAGCCGCAGTGGCTGCTGGAGTTATGAAACTAAGTGGGGGAAATGTGGGAACAAAATATTAGAGGTGGGATACAGGACAGATGACGTTCCAAAAAGAAATTCCCAGCCAGGAGGATAGACCTGGAAATAGTTAAATTTTGCTTTGACAATCTAAAATATTAGGGCTGTCAAAAAAAATAATAATTGTGATCATTCAATCTTTTTTGTTTGTTTGTTTGTTTATGTTTATATATATACACACACACACACACACACACACATATATATGGACAAAAGTATAGGGAGACCATCTTCTAATGAACAGGTTTGACTACTTTAGTAATTTCCATGAGTACAAATCTTAATGTTTAAGCATATAATTATATTCTAGGGAATTGTGTTTTTACTAAATTACTAAAGTAGTCAAACCTGTTCATTAGAAGATGGTCTCCCTATACTTTTGTCCATACAGACAGTGTATATTTATATACACACACACATACAAGTATATACACACACACATACAAGTATATACACACACACATACAAGTATATACACACACACATACAAGTATATACACACACACATACAAGTATATACACACACACATACAAGTATATACACACACACATACAAGTATATACACACACACATACAAGTATATACACACACACATACAAGTATATACACACACACATACAAGTATATACACACACACATACAAGTATATACACACACACATACAAGTATATACACACACACATACAAGTATATACACACACACATACAAGTATATACACACACACATACAAGTATATACACACACACATACAAGTATATACACACACACATACAAGTATATACACACACACATACAAGTATATACACACACACATACAAGTATATACACACACACATACAAGTATATACACACACACATACAAGTATATACACACACACATACAAGTATATACACACACACATACAAGTATATACACACACACATACAAGTATATACACACACACATACAAGTATATACACACACACATACAAGTATATACACACACACATACAAGTATATACACACACACATACAAGTATATACACACACACATACAAGTATATACACACACACATACAAGTATATACACACACACATACAAGTATATACACACACACATACAAGTATATACACACACACATACAAGTATATACACACACACATACAAGTATATACACACACACATACAAGTATATACACACACACATACAAGTATATACACACACACATACAAGTATATACACACACACATACAAGTATATACACACACACATACAAGTATATACACACACACATACAAGTATATACACACACACATACAAGTATATACACACACACATACAAGTATATACACACACACATACAAGTATATACACACACACATACAAGTATATACACACACACACACATATATATGGACAAAAGTATTGGGACACCGCCCTCTAATGTACAGGTTTGACTACTTTAGTAATTTCCATGAGTACAAATCTTAATGTTTAAGCATATAATTATATTCTAGGGAATTGTGTTTTTACTAAATTAGTAATATGTATGCTATATATATATGTAAACTAAAGTAGTCAAACCTGTACATTAGAGGGTGGTGTCCCAATACTTTTGTCCATACAGACAGTGTATATTTATATACACACACACATACAAGTATATACACACACACACACACACAGTATATTTAAAAAAATTAACCATATGATAGAATTTATATATATTTTATAGCAATTTATTTTAATAAAATTGTGAATATTATATATTAAATTATATTAGATTATGATAAAACAGACCTTTTTCCACCTACAGATTTTTTAAAACTATATTAATAATAGTGATTACTGATATCTAGTATACTGTGATTTAATATGAACAAATTTCTGTTTTTGTGTCGACTGATAAAGGGGTATTTGAGTCTTACAGATGGATCTATGGGGGAACACAAGACAAAAACGATTGTAACAGACTGTTTTCCTTTTGCAGGAATGATGTAAATCAGTCGCAGAGTAAAACATTTCCATTGTGTATGTAGATTACTTTTAATTGACTGAATTTGTCACTTGTGCTGCTAGAAACAATTTGTCCAAATAATTGCGCCGCCCGCCCCTCCTTTCACAAATACAAACTAAATAACATAATGAAGAGGGGGAAATTGACAAACCGCTAATTCAAGCCAACGTTTACATACTAATTAAGTCAGGGTTATGCTAATCGGAAGGGAAGTTGTGCACATTGCATGCACACGCATGGATGCCCCAGAGAGAGCGAGCTGTCACGTAAACACGGCCAGCACCACCGCTGCATGTCAGTGATCTGGTGCACTGAACTTTCACCTGACCCTGACAGCTACGGTGAATGCATCCGAGGGCACATAAAAGAGACGACGGTGGGGTGTGTGTGAATCTATTTGAAGTAATGCGAGGTAAGGAGGCCCTGTACGGACACAATGCAGCGACTCGCGGTGTTTAACAGAAGGTTCTAGAAGGACAGGGACTGTTTGGTGTCGCGACTGATCTTCTCTCACCGCCTGCAGCTAGAGCACTGACTTGCGTTCATATTCGATTATTTGATGAGGAGTGAAAGGGGAACCTAGTTACGCCATCTGTAATCCAGAGCTCTGTAGCTCCACATAATCACTGTTTAATGACTGACCTCAATCACAAAACCTGCTGCTCAACTTTAAACGCACAATATGTAAGTTTTTTTTATTAAAATGTCCAAAAACCACTAGAACAGTGTTATATATTTAACTGACTTGTGTACTTACATTATCTCAAATGTTTCGAAGAATGTTTAAATCCAGAGAAATAAGCTATTTTAACTAGTGATACGGACCGTGTCCATAGCGTCATTGTGTCACCTACCAATTACATCATAAGTTTTGTTTTGTAGAAAACATGGAAACACCAAAGACGCTTTAATATGTTGTGCGTTTTAATAAACCGGTGACGACCGCACAGAATAGCATTACAACAGAACGTTCAAATGTAACTACTATGATAAAACAGCTCTGCTTTTCCCCACATACGCACGACCGGAAGGAGCGGAAGCGGTCGACTGTGGCATAATAAAAGCTCCGCTGCTTTCGAGCCGTGTGTCACACTCGTTCAGTGGCCTCGTTTCGCTTCGACGGCTTTCAGCCTCACCCTGCTTCATTCTACTATGCTAATAAATCATTAGCTCATCCATGAACATGATTTCTGCCCGAGTACCGTCGGATTGCATCGGCTGTGGGGATGAAGACGACAACTCCCATGATTCCACACCCAGTCACGGCGTCATCAAACTGCGCCTTTGTCTATTTGTTTATTTTGTATACACGCCCTCTAGCGACGAAAATTACATATTGTGCCTTTAACACGGTTGTTCACCGCTGCGAATACCGACTGGAGAGCCTCCTTAAAATCAGAAGCGTGCAACACTACGGCTGTGTTCAGAATGGAATAGTAGCATAATACTTGCTGCACAGTACATACTGTAAACCAGTATTTATTCAATATAGTATGCAATAACAATGAATGCTTTACATTTCTTTCACAGTCTTTTAAATTCACAGAGTCCAGTTATCACCTCTGAAATGAAAGCTAAAGTGTGGAATTTTTTTTAATACTATAATATAAAAAATTAAGTTTTCTTAACCAGTTGTGCAAGTTTCAGGCAGGACTATTTGTTTGCATGACCAATGGTCGACAGAGAGTGTTTCAAAGTGCTGAACTATTTCAGTCATAACATAAATTACACATTTGACCTTAAAATGCATTGTTCTTTTTTTTTTTTATCATAACTACTATCAATTAAAATTGTAATTATAATCATCTTGAGACTGCATATAGATTCCAAAGCAGCAACAAATGGCTAGTAGCAACTTCCCAGCATGCATTGCTCTCCCTTGAAGTTTCACTTCTTAAGATACGAGTGAAACTTCAAGTTGATAATCTATATGCAGTCATTATATTATATTAATATATTATGTATATCCTGTTTACACATTTTTAGAATGTGTGTATATATATATATAGAGAGAGAGATTTCACAATTTAAAGAGTTGATGTCTATTTTAATGTTATAAAATATAATTTATTCCTGTGATGCAAAGCTGAATTTCAGCATCATTACTCCAGTTTTCAGTGTCACATGATGCTTCAGAAATCACTAATGATTTGCTGTTCAAGAAACATTATTAACAATGTTGAAGATATTATATTATGCATTAATATTTACATTTTTTTTAAGTCTATGCACTGACCCAAAACATTTGATAAATAAAATAAAAAATTATATATATTTTGTATATTGCTATATTACTTTCAGGTGATGTTGATGTGGACTTGCTCATACGGCTGAGTTTAGAAACTACTAGTTTTGTCAATGTCATTTTCCCTCAATTGCCTACCTGTCTACTTGTGAGACAGAGAGAGACAGGAGGCGGTGAAGAAAGAAATGCTTGTAGTCTATAATCATTTACAAAGGTCAGGCGCAAGAGAGAAAGACAGAGACAGTGAGCCTGCCAGCGCTGCTCTCCATCTCTATTGATCCTTATCTGCAGTCAGGCCCACCAGAATGACTCGCCTGAGAGAAACACCTTAATAACCGTACAGGTTGATGCCGAGTGTAGTGGTTCAATTAGGGTGCTGGATGAAGTCAAGGACGTGAGAAAACACGAAACACGATTTCTGATCCTAATTCTAGTGCGGTTCTGGGAGTCTTTGATATGCTGAATATCAGCTGCTGAGCTCTTTCTGCGATTGAGTGGCAGTTTTGAGCTCTGGGGTGTTCGGAGGATCTATCACCTTCCAGAACTCCTTATTAACAAGGTGAAGCACGAGGCGTAAACCCTTGATAATGAGCCAATGTAACAATCCAAGAAAACAAGACAGCAGAGCAAGTTTCCAAAAACTGTTTTCACATCCCACTAGTATCAGAATATGTGTACAACGTGCAGTTATGAAAATCTTAGGCGCTAAATGAAGATGTTGGTTGGTTTGTTTTGCTGACTGAATAAACAAACAATCTGTACGGTTAAAATACGATAAAAAAAAACACCTCCACGGGTGTTTAACATTTTACAATTCTAAAATACACTATTGCTATATAAATAAAAGTGATTATTGAAAACATTAAGTAAAAGCTTAGCATAAATTGAAAATACATTTTGAAGAATGTTTAATAAAAAAAGAAAAAAAAAATTCTGACGTTAACATGCCAATATATATATTAGGGCTGTCAGTTGATTAAATTTTTTTATCCAATTAATTACATGATGTTTCGATTAATTAATCTAATTAATTGCTAAATAAATTTGACTGAAAATACTTACACAACCCTCTACATTGCGAGTAAATCACTCGCATATGTGACTTAATCTTACTCTGGGCAACTAAATGTCTAACATTAGCCATTGGCTAATAAATTCTTAGATTTTACACGCCAGTATGTGTGTGAGAGGCGTTCAACACAGATTTTCACTCGATAAACACGCTGACTGAGCGCTTGAGAGTTTCGCTCTCCGTCAAGCGATCTGTACTATTTGGATGCGCTCAATGGATCATGTCATGTACTCAATGGATGCGCAGTATGTAGCATGAAGCGCACCTGTGTTTGACGTACCGTAAACTACACCGCAAAATCCCCAGAGTTAAATCAACTCTGCTCAGAGTACATATTGTCCCAATCTACAGAGTGTTAAAGTAACACTGAAGCAGAGTTACCACTGTTGAGGATTATGTGATACATTTTCATGTCTAAAAGCCTGAGCAGTAGTTATTCATCTTCAACATTGTTAACAGCGGGTTTTCTTTATTAATGACTCGCCGTCACTTTACTGATAGCGCTGTGTTTCTCACACATGCAAAGAGAGAGAGCGAGAGTCTTGCATACCACGCTGAATCGACGCGCTACATGTAAACCATATTCTTTGTTGTATTTTACTTTCAAAATAAAAGAGTTCATTTAGAATTATTCAGCTTTTAATATAATGCTTGATTGGCTGAAGTTAAGAGTGCACATTCAGTTATTTAAGAAGCTGTTCCATTTTACAAAGATAAGCTGATTGGGTGGAATCATGTGTGCGCGCGTGTCCACTTAACCATATTTTGGGGACAAATTTGTACCCAAAAGTGAGCAAAGCCTGACAAAATCGGCAAAAACCTAAATTTGTGGATGTCCTCATTTGTAAAACTGTTATAAAAATAAAGTAAACAGTTTTTTTTTTACTTTTGAAATTGTAAAAATGCAGAAAGTTTTCTGTGAGTGGTAGGGTTAGGGGTAGATTAAAAAGTGTATAACTATCTGTATATAATAACGATAGAAGTCTATGTAATGTCCCCATTTAGATAGCCAAGTAAACGTGTGTGTGTGTGTAAAATAGTATATCAGTCTGGCGAGTAAACAAAAAAAAATGTACTAGCCAATGGCGATTATATTGCCAAGGTGTGTGTAAAGGGTTGTTACAAAAGATTATTTAAACAGCTATTTTTGTGTTAAATGAGAAAGTATCATGTAGACATTACAAATTGTAGCTTTAGAAATATTTTATTTGATTCAACATAAAATTTATTACACAAACATTTAGGCTACAACGGCCTAACAAACTATGGAACATAAAAAAAGATAATTTGAGAAACATCTCAGTATTTTCTGTTCATACAATGAAAGTCACTGGTAACCAACACAGCTTCGGTACAACAGTCTTCAAAATACCTTATTTTATGTTCCACAAAAGTAAGTCATTCAGGTTTGAGTAAATGATGACAGAATTAAAATTATTTGGGTGAATAATCCCTTTAATGTTTTATTATTATTATTATTTTATTTATTTGTTTATTTTAAATGATACTCTAAATAAGAAACTACATCTGCCAGCAGGTGGCGGTAAATGTCTTTGAGTCATTTATTTATTTGATTCAAATGGCTGATTCATTCAGGAATTCAGTAAATGGCTCTCTTTATGAATGGGCCTTTGAATCATTGGTTCACATGATTCGTTCAAAACGCAGATTCATTCAGAAACAAACCACCGCTGTGCTGTTCGGAGATGCACAACAATTCTGCTATGGCTTTAAAAGGTAATGATGTTCTCTGCAAAATTGAGCAAAAACACATGATATCATGCTTAAAATATAGCACAATTTCAACTTCTTATCTACTGAACTGTTGTGTAAAATCACATTTGCACTCGTGATATTCGGGACAAACAGCACTCATGTGATATTGCTCTCACAAAAATCACACAAAAATGAGACAAAAACACATACAGGGGCATTTTGGCACCAATATCTTGAATTTTAGGGCATAACTGCATTTATGGAGTTGTTGCCCTCTGCATCATATTTGTCAACAGTCAACTGTATGAAACGTAAGACAATGTACAGGTCTGGGGGCGGGGCCAGAGCGTTAACTGCGTTAAATATTTTAATTGCGTTATTTTTTCATAACTAATTAATCAAGTTAACGCGTTAAACCATTCATTCTTCCTGAATAGAAAACAGCAACTGTATTTCAAAATACCTGCTTTTTCTTCCACGAAATAAAGTCATTTTGCTTTCATTGCCATTAAACCTGATGAAAAATCTTTAGTGCTCAGACATGTCATGCCCCCCACAAGCCAAAGATTAGCCCATATTAGACACATGATGGCAGCAAGGTGGTGTGACATCTGTTCGCCACCCCTGCTCTAAGCAAACAAAGCAAAAATATTTTATATTTTAAAGTATATTTTTTGACACACACACACACACACACACACACACACTATTATATATTATAAAATTATAAATATTTACATATGTCCAAGTATATTTACACTTTGTGCATTTATATTTTAATTTGTAGAATGTCTAATGAAAAATCTAAATACTGTCATATACATCATATATATATATACATAAGCAAAAAATATATATATTAAAATTATATCATGTCATGCCCCCCACAAGCCAAAGATTAGCCCATATTAGACACATGATGGCAGCAAGGTGGTGTGACATCTGAGTAAAATGATGACTTCCTCCCCATGAGGTAATAAACTTGTTAGGAAACGTATGAGACCATTTGTCTCAATGTCAGACTAAATGATGTCAAAGTCATAGCAATGGTATAATCATGAAAAATGTATGTTGAGCACTTTTATTAGTACTATTAAATAGTCTTCCATAAAGCTCACCTCTTTAGCTTTCTGTTTAAGCCGAGCCTGTTCGGGATCCTCCTGCCTCGAGCGACTCTGCAAGCAAAGAGAAACATTAGAACTAAAATAGACCGGTTTAAATTAGATCCAGGATTTAGATGAACAAAATTAGAGCAGAAATATCCATTCAGAAAACAATCAAAAAGTAACAAACAAAGAAACAGTTCATCCAAAAATGAATATACTGTCATTATTTACTCATATGCCATTCCAAACTGATTTGATGTTTTTTTTGCTGTAAATATTCTTCAAATTTGTGTTTCACAGGAAAAATGTCAGCATACGAATATGAAACAACACTACTACTAGAGAATAACGACAAAAAAATACCATCCCTTTACCTAAACTTTTGCTGTACATTAAGAAAACATTAAGCACCTGTGACAATAATTCTACCATGATGACAAACAAAATGTAAATGGGTCAAGTCTATTCCCAAACAGTATTTATGTGAGACCAGCAACAGAAAACAGAACAATTATCTTCTGGCTGACATCTCAATTAGCCGACTGCATTAATTAGAATAGGGACGGTGGTGCACTGGGAGTCACTCTGGAGCGGGACATCGTCGGCGTCATCATCAGCTTTTGTCGTTTAAGTCAACTAATTACCTCTGCTTTCAAGTTGCCATGTCCTATTCCTGTGGGGAACTGTCACACCCCCACCGTATCTTAAGGAGTGAAACTTCAAGGGAGAGCAATGCATGCTGGGAAGTTGCTACTAGCCGTTTGTTGCTGCTTTGGAATCTATATGCAGACTCAAGTGCCACCATCACAAATGAAATAGTTAGGAACTGATATGCGAGTAATATGCAATTCCATTTCTGAACAGATTTATATATAGAGAGAGATGAGATTTAATTGATTTTGGTTAACTCAAATCACAGTAAAATAAATAATAATAAAAAAACCTGAATGTTCTGGTTTCAATGCAAGTATCGTCCTACAAAATTGTGTACATTAAGTATCGGCCGATATTACAGATATTATTTTACAAAAATGTATTTATTCTCTGTTCCTCCTTCATATTTTTACATTTAGAAAGTCTAGATCATCATCTTATACCCCCTGAAGTTAATGTAATAATTTCTAATTAACTAACATCACTGTAAAATGTAATCTTTGCGTAAATCTCTAAATTAATATACATTTTTGATACTGTACAATATAATGTTGCAATGTCTCACCTTTAGCATGCAAAACAATTAATTCTTTTATATATAATTTTTAGGGATGCACCGATAACGGTTTCGGTATCGGGCCGATACTGAGCTCCTGTACTCGTTAAAATGCCCCGATACCAAACGCCGATACCACACAGCATGTGATAAGTGCCATATTCAGACAAAAAAACATTGACAACAGAATGAAGTTATTAGAGATTAAAGATGTCTACGAAGTACATGTACGCAATGAATATAAAACATTCAGTATTAATGCCTGTATAGCTGATGTGCGTGAGCTGATAAACAAAGCACGCTGAGTGGATTGAGCGCACGGTGGCACAGATGTGCGAGCTTGTCGAGTGAATATCCCTTTCTCACAGACATCACTGGAAAGTTTGTAGTTCGGTCGGAAATGTCAAAAAGAAGTAAGTAAAACAATGCACAAGTTACTTAATGGTAGGAAGGGAGGGAGGGAGAGAGAGAGAGCGCACACTTCTGTTGATCTTTATTGATGTTCGCTCACTTAGCGCGCATCATTTGAATGAAAACTAAACCGTAAGACAATTTATAGGGGCATTCTCTATAAACGTAATGTATTTTCACCCTTAAGCATACACGACTTTCTGGCAAAAGTGAAACTAACAGCCTGTGTGAAATGCACTAGGCTGTACAGTACTTGTCCCTCTTATTCCGCACCAGTACAAATACGTGAACGCAGTGCGCGTTTTGCTTGCTTCATGAGTGGTTCTGCATTATATGAGTGGCTTTGGAAAAGAAATCGCTGCACGTTTCTGATGAAAAAAAAACGCGACTTCTATTTATGAAAATATCACAGTTAGGAGATTTATAACGAGTGGTTCCCTGCATTATTACAGCAAAGTGCGTGATTACAGTACTAAGCCGCTGCAATGGAGCACCTCTAATGCTATTAAATTAAAGATGATGTACCATAGAGAAAAAAAAATGAACAGTGGAAGTAACAAAAACTTGTAAAATACATTTTAATGAGCATAATTAAGTGTGAAAATAACAGAAGGATATACAGTCAAACCAAAAATTATTCAGAGACCAGATATAATTTTAAATATTTTTTTACTAGTGGGTGTAGGACACTATACTTCATTTAATGTTAAGTGAGGATAGCAAAATAAACTAAACCGTGATATATTATACCCAACGTTTCTTCATACAGTGGACTACCAGTAAAATTTATACAAATTTGGGACCAAAAATTATTCAGACTGAGTCTGGGAAAAAAATTGAAGTTCAGGTTTGCATGAACCTGGATGACAGAATGCCCAGGAGACTATATGCGGTCATTAAGGCTAAGGGTCACCCGACAAAGTATTGATAGTTGTGTATATATTGACAGCTGTATGAATAATTTTTGGTTTATTGTAATCCATTACATAATTTTCTATCAAAGTTATCTGACATTATCAAGCTGAATTTGTTCTGACACAGTTTAACTAAGTAATAGGCAGTTCTTGTCATATTTTATTACCATTTTCTAAACTATAGCGAATAAACTGTGATAATGTGAGAAATGTTGAAGGTGTCTGAATAAATTTTGGTTTGACTATCTATTTGATAAATGAAGTTAACCAACTAACATCATACATACTCTTTTGGTTTCTGTACCCAATATTTAAAAAAATTTTACAAATGCAATGAAAATATTGGTATCGGTACTCGGTATCGGCAAGTACCAAAAATAAAAGTATCGTATCGAGCGAGTACTGGAAAAAGTGGTATCGGTGCATCCCTAATAATTTTAATATCGGACAATTATCGGTTATTTGCCATAACATGAAAATAATTATTGGCTTATATAAACCAGAATTTTAATATCAAGTAATATGTACTCCCTGAACAGACTAAGAGAGATGGGATTTGTTCAGGACAAATTGTATTGGCAGTATCTGTGATATAGTTGATTACCACAGAAAATAACTTTGACTTCCCCCCAAAAATTGACTTTACATTTATTATAAGCTGATATTACAGTTTTTTATTTATTCGTATTGGGTATTTATTTATTCATGCCAATTTTCTTTATTTTATAATCGAATGCTTTTATCCTCCAAGTTAATTTTCCCCCCCCTATTCTCAAAACCAATATCGATTGTTTTATACTGTATATTATAATGTTGTGATACATAAATTCACTTGTAGTACCTAAAATGACTAAGTTTAGTTTTTTGTATTTGTTATATATATATTTTTTTATAAGTGTAGATTTTATTTCCAGCATTTAAAAAAAAAAAAAATTATTTAAATAGTACAGAATTTTGGTATCATCCGTTTATCAGTTATATAATTTGAAAATAATTACTGGCTTATCTGTATCAGCCAGAACTTTAATATCGGTGAATCCTTTGTATTTGTTATATATATATTTTTTTATAAGTGTAGATTTTATTTCCAGCATTTAAAAAAAAAAAAAATTTATTTAAATAGTACAGAATTTTGGTATCATCCGTTTATCAGTTATATAATTTGAAAATAATTACTGGCTTATCTGTATCAGCCAGAACTTTAATATCGGTGAATCCTGACATCTAATATATACAAATTTAGTATCAAAAACCACCTACCAGTCCATCCCTGCCAATATTGCTTAAAACCCAGAACTAAACCTCATGTCTACCTTTATAGCAGTTTTTTAAAAAGCCATGTAGTCTTGATTAATTTATAAGCAGCATTCACTTGATTGGTGACAAAAAGGTAGTGATGCCTTAAGGTTCATCCATTACATATAACATTACCTCCCCCCCCACAAACTCAGTGAGTGAGATAGTGTCACTTCGATGCCTTAAGGTTCATCCATTACATATAACATTACCTCCCCCCCCCCCCACAAACTCAGTGAGTGAGATAGTGTCACTTCCTTAGAAAGAAAGCAACTTCAAGGCAAATTTAAAACATCCTCTCTCGCTCCCTAACAGAAGACTCATTCCCTTTCCCCTGATGTACTCCAGTCCAGGCAACAGTACAATCAAATCAACTCGAGACTGGATAAATCCCTCTGGCTTTGCCATTACTGCAATTTGCTCCAGTATGAAGCAGACCAAGTGCAATCTTGTGTCTTAATAACACTGCCTTTTCTCTCCGAGGCTTAAAAGCACAACCGGTTTCTTTTAAACAGTGGCCAACACATGCGGGAAAAGCCAGCGTTCACTGGCAAGGCGCTGATGGGCAGACTGGCGCCAACGGCCACTCCCGCATCACTCAAACCTACTTTTGCGGCTTTCATTAGCAGCTCCCGTTCTTCGTCATCTTTCCTCTGCTTCTCAATCTTCTCCAGCTGCTCAAAGAACTTCAGCTGGGTCCGCACATCCGATGTCTGCTCGTACAGCTCCTCATCCTGGGGAAAGTAAAAACAAAACTCCTCATCCACAAGTTCATCACATTTACGTTGTTATAAGAGTGAACTAACTTTTTCCTCCAGCTCGCCTAAAGTTTCACTCTTTTCCCTTTCGTGCATAAATGAAAGTGAAGTTAGTAGGTCACCCAGAGCTAATGGGATAATTGTGTGTTACGCAGTGTTTCTGCGAGGCAACCCCAGACTCTTTTACCTGCGATGGTTGTTCTAGCGTTGCAGGTAAAAGAGCTGCGTGAGGCGCAGCAGAGGACCAAAGCTGAGCGATGCACACACACACACACACACACACAGGAACCCACACATTTTCATGCACTTCTGAGGCTATAGCCTATTAGCAGCGGGAACGGCACTGCTCTTCTCATTTCTTCACGCACGCTTTCTTTTGCGCTGAGGCTGCGCCTCACTCGCAGGGCCAACTTTTCCCGTCTCCATTCAAGTTTGGCTTGTTTTTCGCTGATGTCAACAGGCTGACTTCATAAAGCCGTAACAGTTACTCATTTTGAACAGTTTGTTGCAAAATCAGAATGGGACAAATCGCAACATGACACCGTATCCCCTTTGCGTCATTTTTTTTTCTTCTTAGTACAAAATGAAAGTCTAGATTTCCACAGTTTTTTTTCCTCAAGCTCCATTACTTTCAGTCTTCTATGATAACAAGTTTTAAAAAAACAGGATCATTTAAGATACGATAATTAACAACAGTCTTTTTCACTTACCAATAAACACAGGAAGCTTTGGTGCTCTAAATGAACAATTACAACTTATTACGATCAATACCAATTTTGTTTCTGAATTATTTTATATATTATATCTCTTATGGTTTCCACAAAAATATTAAGCAGGACTTTGTTTGTTTTTTGAGTGTCAAATCAGCATATTAGAAAGATTTCTAAAGGATCATTTGACACTGAAGCCTAAAATAATGGCTGCTGAAAATGTTGCTTTGTCATTACAAAAAAGAAATCACATTTTAAAATATATTCCATTATTTTTACAATTATTAATATTTCACAATATATTATATTTATTATAGTTCAGCCCATAATTCCAAGTTATGTCATCAACACCAACGTACATCTTTAATCATGTTAGAATAACTGATCAATTTAGTTAGTAGGTTAAGTAGTTCGTATGATGCTGTACAACAAAAGTCTTACCCTTAAAAGTCTTACTAGTGTAGTCTACTCTTCTTACTAGTGCATCTTCCACAATCAAGACTCAGGTTAGGGTTAACATTAACGGTTGCATTTTCAGCATGAAGGATGTATAATGAGAAATGTTCGGCGGGAAAAGTCAGTTTGTGGTTTCTCTTTGAAGTTCTGGAGTGAGCGGCTCAAGTATTGGTTCTTACTTTGCAGGAGTCGACGCGGTGTTGCGCAACAGTCGAGACTTTTTCCAGCATGGAGCGCAGCCTAGACTGAGTGGCGTGAGAAATGAGAGTGACCGTCTCCATTGTCACCTCCGTCACGCCGAACTTCTTGGCTGAAACGATACAAAGTTTGGTGTTAAAGTTGCTCGGGAAGGTAGGAGAAAAGTGAAGAAAAGTGATTCTTTGAGCCTGGAGCACCAAACCAATTAAAAGACAAGTATTATTGTTTTGCTTCTCAAACCTGCCTCATGATATGACCTAATTTAACTGGTAAACACTTCACTGCCACACTTTGCATATGTCACACCCACACGCTCACTTCCCATCACTCTCTCCACATCATATCCAGCAGGTGGCGCAACACACCTCCTCCCCGTTCCCTCCTCCAGCCATCAAGCTGAAATCATCACACACACACACACACACACACACACACACACACACACACAGAACTCCCCCGGAGGAAGATTTACATTTTTAACACACTCCACCCCCCTGGCAACAGCATAACAACCACAGCCGGGCTCCATGTAATAGCACATATCCGCAGGCACTCATTGGTATGCACTGTGTGCTAAATCAAGCGCACGGGGGGAGAAAGAGTTTGCTTAAATACAATAATGTAGGGTGCTTTTTTGGATGAGAGAGATCCAAAGACCTGCCTCATGTCTACATGACAGTCTCCTGTTTCTTCGTGCTCTTTAAGACATCTTTAAAGTGATTTATGCAAAGGTTAACTAATCATCATTAATAAGATGCTGGTGCAGTATGTTTGCAGATTGCATGTATAGAATTTGGGTGTCTGGTCTTGATTCCGGACCCTATTTTGTGTTGATATACACCTATTCCTATTTAGTAATGGAGAAAAGACAGCAGACTTCCACTAGTCATAATCCAAGGGATTATGGGTAATATTCAGCTTGCATACTAATTACACATCAGTAAAATTGTGAAATATGCCACAAAAATATTAAAGGGATAGTTCACCCAAAAATGAAAGTTTGGTCATTAATTACTCACCCTCAAGTCGTTCCAAACCCGTAAGACCTTCATTCATTTTTCGAACAGAAAATAATATATTTTTGATGAAATCTGAGAGCTTTCTGACCCTCCATTGACATCAATGCAACTGACACGTTCAAGGCCCAGAAAGGTAGTAAGGACATCGTTAAAATAGTCCATGTGACATCAGTGGTTCAACTCGTGAAGACGTGTCAAAGACTGACACGTAAGAGAAGAAATTGTTGAATAAAGTGTTTTCTTTGTGCACAAAAAAGTATTCTTCTGGCTTCATAAAATTACAGTTGAACCACTGATGTGACTTGGGCTATTTAACAATGTCCTTACCAACTTTCTGGGCCTTGAACATGTCAGTTGCATTGCTGGCTTTTCAGGGTCACAAAGCTCTTGGATTTCATCAAAAATATCTTCATTTGCGTTCCGAAGATGAACGAAGGTCTTACAGGTTTGGAACGACATGAGGGCGAGTACTTAATGACAGAATTTAAATTTTTGGGTGAACTATCCCTTTAAGCAGCACAACTGCTTTAACATTGATAATAAGAAACATTTCTTGAGCATCAAGTCATTATATTAAAATGACTGACAGCTTAGCCATCTGAAGAATAAATTACATTTTAAAAAATATATCAAAATAAAACATTTAAAAAAATAATAAAAAATAAATTGTAATATTATTTCACAATATTACTTTTTTTTTTTTACTGCATTTTTGATTAAATCAATGCGGCCAGTTGCAACCAGCATTGTATATATCACACTTAAAACAACATTCATGCTTGACTTGCTATGTAGCATCAGTACGTATGTAGATTTGAAGGCATCTAGTCTTTGAAATGTGCATTGTTTGTTTAGGCAGGGACATTCAGAGTGCATGCAAGTGACCTTGTCAGGGAAGAGGCCCGAGGCAACCTCACATTTCAGCACACAGCAAACTAATAGAGAGCCATCAGAAGACGGCCTATAAAGTATTCATTCGCAGCCTGAGGAGGCCTCAAGCTCAGACACAGGACATTCATTAGCCTGACTTAGCAAGTGAGTGACCAGTGGAAGTGCACTAGAAGAGACTTAGAAGAGACCCCTAGTCTTAGGCGGAGATCAAGGAGAGAGGACTGGAAGGTCACCAATCACTGAATCTCTATTTTTTAAGCTTAGGGTGGGTCACTCTATATATAAAAATATGAATAAATACTATAATAGTAAATACTATAAAATAAATACAAAAATAACAGTCAACTAGTCATCTAAAAGAAAAAAAGAAAAAACAACAATTAAAATGCCCAGAATGCTTTGTCTACTTTGTTATTTTGTATAAGTATAAATATATAGGAATTAACAGCAATAGTAATAATAACATTGTTAATATATATATTTTGATATATATTTTTAGCAAAAATGCGATTTACATTAAGAAATATGAATTTAGCCTAATTATACAGTGCTTCTTTATGACTGATTACTCTAAGGTTTTAGGCTACTGATTGGCTAGTTGATTTTAAAATCATGTAGTACAAAGTATTAGTGTTCAGATCCCTTGTATACTTTATTCATATGCCTGACTGTAAATCTGGCCAAAAATATCATCTATACAGCTTTCTCTTTGCGTGGCATTCAAATCAAGCAGCCGAATCATAAACCTTAGAAAAGAGTGACACATCTTTCCTGTCTCATCGGGCCAGCTTTCATCAGCTTTTTGTTTAAATCCATTCATAATCCCACACCCATTTAAAGATCCGCCCTCAAACAACGTCAGTCAACGCTGATACAGTAATTAGACAGAATATTAACTGCCCACACAGTGGCGGTACAGCCTAAACCTCTTTATGACTGTAAACCTGCCAGGAGAAACTGATCCTTACAAGCACATTGCCAGACTGCCGATGAGAGTATTGCAGCGGCGGGTTATTGCGTACCAGTCTCCAGGAGACGTTTGTGGAGCAGGCTGGCAGGAAGGAAGGCCTCGTCCTTACAGGAACGGATCTGAGTGCCCACCAGCTCCGAACCCGTGGCCAAGATACGGGCATTCTCCTCATTTAGGTTCACACCAGCCATGTATGCCACGTCATTGATGTCGTCATCATCCCTGCAGACACAAACAAGAAGAATTTCACCATGCATGAAACAGGTATATTATGATGGATATATATATATATATATACTTACATATTCACAAATATATAAAACAAATTAAATATAATTTGTTATATATATATATATATATATGTGTGTGTGTGTGTGTGTGTAAGCAAAAACAATCAATCAGGCCCCCCCCCCCCACAAGGTTTACTTAGATTTTCAGTTTAGTTGTATTATTATTAATATATAATACTTAAATAATATTAGTAAATATAATATTAAATAATTGTTATATCATTATAATACTATATTAATTCATTTAAACAGGACTATAATTATTGTGAGATTACTGTAATTACTGTAAAAATAAATGCATATAAAATATGCAGTACTATAATTACTGTATATTTTATAATTATTTTCTTTTTAAAAACAAATATTGTCTTCTATGTTTATAAGTGAGAAGCTGCCAGTGTTTATTTATTAAAGAAAAGCTTACTGGAGAATGGGTTTGATACAAAACCTATTTTATATCTTTTAAAAGTGATTTTTTTTTCAAAAACGAAAAAAAAAATTCTTCACCTTATTAATAAATAGTCATGAACATGACTTCATTCCATCACACCCATTCTCACATTTTCAAATTCTGTCATGCCCCAAATGCCATGAAACAACTAACAATTCTAGAGAAACGCTGCCTCCTACTGGTTTCTTAGAAAACCAACCTGAAAGTCCCACCCCCGGGGTCATTCAGCTTCTGTTTCTGATTGGCTGACGCTTGAACAGCCACACCCATGGGACTCCTCACTTGCAAGGGTGTCCCAACAGCACCTGCAATAAAACTGGTAATTATACTGGGGAAGGGCCATTGGACTCTTGCATGAGAAAAGGAACACTTAAGCCTCAATAACTTTCCTTTAGTGGGTTTAAAATGGACACTAAGCTCATTAAGTCTCTCAATAGCTTACCTTGAGCACGAACCGTCTGTGTAATCACCACCGGCATCCGTGTCGGAGTAGCCTGAACCCCAGGCCTCTTAACAGCCCGAGGAGAACAAAACCACAAAGGATATGAAAATTCAAACTTATTTTTTGCTACTGAAGTTTGAATTAGAGACACTAATGTGTCTAACTGAGCCTAAGATCATAAAGTGAATCTAATAACATGAGCTTGAGTAAACTTAAGGGCCAAATAAACAGATGCATTAAAATAATTCAAATTTTCATAATTATTTCAGGGGCAGAACACTGTACATATGTTATGAATATTCCAACATAATATATCGACCAAGCCTACAATAGCCCATAGGAAAGCAAGAGTACCATGGTGGTAGTGGGAGCCAGGGCAGCAGCCGGTCGGATGGTAGATACAGTGGTGGGCTGTGTGCTCGGCGCTGCAGCTTTAATGGTGTTCACCGTCAGTGGGGTGGACGTAGTAGAGGTCTGAGACAGCTGTGTTAAAGACTGCTGGGAGTTCAGAAGAGTCAGACGCAGAGCAGGCAGACTTTTCTGTACAAAGAGAAGGGGAAACAGATTTCAGGTTTCAAAAACACAAAAGAACAAATTTCGTGCCTTGAAAGGATAGCCCACCCAAAAATGTAAATTCTGCCATCATTTGGTCACCCTCATGCTGTCCAAATCGGTATTATTTTATGTCTTCTGCTGAACACAAAAGTAGATATTTTGAAGAATGTTTATAACCAAACAGTTCCGGTCTCCATTGTCTTTCATTGTATTTTTTGTCCATACAATGGAAGTTAATGGGAATTGAAGCAATTAACTAACATTTTTAAAAATATCTTCTTTTGTGTTCCACAAAAACACAAAGTCATACAGTTTTGGAATGACATGAGGGTGAATAACAGAATTTTCATTTTTTGAAACTCTCTCTTTAAGCTTCTGTAATTAAGAACAATAAACTGCTTTTTTGAGTCCTACCTTCAAAAAAGGGATCAGGTACGGTTGAGGAGATGATTTCAACTCCGTCTGCAGGCGATTTGTAAACTCCTCAGGCTCGATTTTTGCATCCTTTGCAGATTTTAGAAGGAAAAATTCACATCAGTTATCTCAACTAAAATGACACATGCTTTACGTAAAGATTAATGTTCCTTTTATTCTATTCTTTAAAAAAAACAACTTGCCCGTTTTAGACACTATTAATTTACTAACTGCTTGTTTTCTTTTTAAAAAACTAACAATAGCTTCTCTATTCTTTTGTATTCTATCGGTTTTCTTTTTATTTATTATACAATTAACAAAAAGCGAAAAAAAGGCCTCTAACACTAGCTTGCTCTATTCTATCCGTTTTCTTTTTATTATATAATTAAAAAATGATTATATAATAGACTAAATGAGACTTGTCATAGCACTTGCATATCATTGCTCTTTTGTTGATTTTGATTGCTTCCATTGTCCTAATTTGTTAGTCGCTTTGGTTAAAAGCGTCTGCTAAATGACTAAATGTAAATGTTAAGTACTAGAATTTTCAATAACCAGCTCAAGTTTAAAGAAAACAATTGAGGGCTCTGAAATAAAACTTAAATATTCATGACTGTATGATGTATTAAACATTGTTGTGACTTTGGCAGATGTAAAAATCAACAAAGTTACAGAGCTGGAGGTTTTTCAATAATTCATTTATACTTTATTTCCTACAAATAATTTGGTTATTAGGTGTGAATTCATATCTTTATAGCAAATTATTTGAAGAAATCTTTTGTAACAAAAAAACAAAGTTGATTAAAAGATAAAAAAATATATATATAAAAGCCAGTAAAAATACTGGCAGGACAAATAAAAACTAAATTATGCCAAATTTGCACAGTAAAGTTGGCACAGAAGTGCTTCTGCAGTGGCATATAATGCTGCTCAGAGGTGGCATAAATGCATGTACACACCAATTACAACTGTATACTTTGAAAGGCAATTTACTCTGGAATTTTGAACAGGCAAAAATGTGTGTGCGTTTTTTAGGGTTTTTTTAGTCCTGCAGTTGCTGACATCTACAGTTTAGCATGAGAACACCACTAGAGAAAATACTATCATTTTAACTGTCACAATGAACTACTACATCAAATCTTTCATTAACAATGAAGCAATACTGAAGTGTCTCAATCATAACATTGCTGCTAGTGAAGCAGATTTAAAACACTAAACAGCTCAAACTCACCAGCAGATCCTGCACTAGTGCCTTCACATTCCTAGATGTTTCCGGCGAGGGGGAATTATGGGATGCCAGTTTGATGAGTGTTGCTAGGAAGTTCTTGCACTTCTTTACATTTTCTTGCATTTCCTAAATGAAAAATTACAGTATATTACAACAGATAATGAATTAGAATCCATGTCCACCAATAGTCATTGACATTATGAACAAACACAGTGTAGCACTACCTGAGAGAGGACAGGGGCTCTGTTAGCTGGTGCAGCAGCAGAGGCGGTGATGGGATTCTGAGGGGTCACAGAGGGCTTGAGAACGGTCTGTGGCGCAGGCTGCACACGGGCCCCTGCTGTAATGACTGTGGTGGTGGGCTTCTGAGCCGAGGTAATCGTTACCACTGCGGTCTTCTGCTACAAAAATAAAAGCCAAGTCAAGAACCGTTTCAAGTGTTTTGTGCACCATGACAAAAATAAATGTTTTGCCCAAGCTTTCAGCATGAAATAATACAATAAACACCACATTTAAGAAACAGTTCACCCAAAAATGAATTTGACATCATTCCAAACCCATATGTTGTCATTTTTTTAAGCAGAACAGACAAAACAATAATTGATCAAGAATCTTCACATAGACCAAATCTGAAGATTGATTTGATTGTCTTGTGTGATTAACAGAAGCAAATCAAATAAGATATTTGGTTACAAGCCAATCCAGAAATAATGATGTTTGTTGTTACTGTCATGCAACCTGCACCACATTTGATTTGACAGTAAAATCAGGATGAGATTGTCTGCAGATAAACCACACAAAGCTTTCATATGGTTTAAAGAACATTTCAAAAGTCATATGAACTACATTGATGGTGATTTAGAACACAAGACAACCACTTAATTTCATTTGTGGAATACAAAAGCAGCTGTTATGCAGCGAGACAGTCTCAATCACCATTCAATTTCACTACATGGAAAAAAGATGCACTGAAAGTGTCAACAGAGATGGCCTTCCTTTATATAGCTATTATTTACTGCTAAAACAGAGTATTATCATGCAATCAAGAGTTTTAGATGCTTTCAGATGACCTGTCTTGCTCATACCTGGGCAACAGGTGTGGTGACTCTGAAAGCCGTTCCAGCAGTGGGTGTAGCAGGTCTCGGTGACAGAGTGCCTTTATTTTGGTTCTGAGCTTTGGCCTGGGCCAGGACCTGCTGAGGAACCAATGCCAGCTGACCGGCCTCCGTGCGTACCAGCACCATACCTCAAGAAGAACACAGGAAAAAATTCCTAAACAAATCATCTAGGAGTAATTAAAATAGCTGGGAAATGTAGTAACAATACTACACATGTTGTTCCAAACCTGTATGGCTTACTTTTTTGATCCACACAATGAAAGTCAATGGGGTCCAATGTTGTTTTGCTTTGGACCCCGTTTACTTTCATTATATGCACAAACATATTCCTCAAAAATGTCCTCTTTATGTTCGGAAGAAGAAATAAAGTCATTCAGGTTCAGAACAACATTAAGGTTTGTAAATAAAGACAGAATTTCCATTTTTGGGTGAACGGACCCATTAAACACCCTCTTTTTGGCCTCTGGTCTCCTTATCGCTTCCTAAGCTTTTACCTGGAGGTATGGTGAATCCCGGCGGTAACTGAATGGTAGTTTGTTGCTGCGGTCTGACAATCAGCTGGGTCATAGGAGCCCCTGGACGCTGCGGGGGCGTCGTGGTCACCGTCCCCTGAACGGGCGCACCGGGTCTCAACAGGGTCGTAGGCTGTCCTACAAGAGCAGTCGTTGCTGGCTTTGCAAGGGCAGAGGGCGTGCTTGCCACAGGAAGTGAGGTCACCACCGGGCTGGACGACACTATAATCTGAGCGGGTGTGCTGGGGTGCAACCCTACGGGGGTCCCGGGGAGCTGGTTCGGGACGATGGCTTTAATCTGGTTTTGAGGGTCAGATTTGGGCTCTGTGTTTGTGAACGGCACAAGACTGGCGCCCTGCATGGGCAATCCTGAGACTTTGGTGTCACCTCCGTTGTGTACCACACTTGTGATGGTGTTAGGAGGCCTGTGCAGTGCAATGGTGGGGTTTGCTTGACTATCTAGTGACACATTCGCATGTGGCAGTGTGCTGTTGGGCTGAGCGGACACAAAAGCAGTATTTGTACTAGCAGGAGCAGACATGTTGCTTTTACCATTACCTACACCTGAACCAATGTCAATACCGTTAACAGAAGCAGGAGCAGAAGCGATAACAGAAGAGCTTAACGTGCCACTGCTTCCGTTCACAGTCTGTATTCTGGCGGGAACCGACCGGACAGCAGACGCAATGTGATTTGTTTTGGGCTGAGAGTCTGTTGGTGCTGCGTCACTTGAACAAGTTGATGGATTTGATGAATGATATTGCACCCGGTTCGCGGCTGTAACCGAATTTGCAGAGGTGCTAGGCAGGTTCGCGGTGGACGGGACAGCACCGGACGCCGGTATCCTGTCCGGGCCGTTTTCTTGAGAGTTTCCCTCCTGGTTTCGCTCTGGCTGCCGCCGCTGCTGCTCCAGTGTTGTTCCTACTTGGGCGGGCAGCAATTTCCCCAAGTGTGGATTTAGCGCGTTTGAGGGTCTTCTGGTGTCGCCTTGAGGACCGACCGCCTTGTTTTGTCCACCCAACTGCGATTCCAACGAGCCTACGAGGTCACTGACGGCTTTTTCGTCCACCTCGGAGTAGAGCATATCTTCCAGTGGATCGGGGACGCCCGCCATCTTTGAGAGACGCTTGAGAAACGCGCACGGCGCGTGCGTTGTTTTGCTGCTGAGGCATTATGGGAAACGTAATGACATCATGGGCAAGCTTTGCAGCTGTTGTCATAGGCCTGTCAAATTAGGAAACTATCATATAAATATTTAATATGATTTGATAAAAAATACATACAATTTTAATAATTAAAATATAATTTAATAAGTAAATTAATAAGTAAATATGTATTGAAATGAAAAATAAAATATATTTAAATGTTACAATTTGGGGATAATATTTGTAATATTTAAATAATGTGATATTTGTAATATTTAAATATTACAAATAAAATAAATTTCTGTTCAACTCATTTATAAATATCTTCAATTGTTATATTGATTGATGCAGAAACATAGTTTTATCGTTTCATACCTTTTTGGAGTTGTGCTCATTCGGCTTGTTTTGGGTCCGATTTCTGTTGTGTTTTATTAATGATCACATCATGCTCATCTTTTAAAATTGTATTGTCATGTTTTCAATTATGTCATGTCTTATCATCAAGAATACTATTTAAATAATATGCTACTTCTAATAGCTAAAGTTAGCATACATAAATGTAAATATAGAAGAAATAAGCTTGTTTTTAAAGGCGGATGTTCAACGATATCTAAAAAACAATATTAAGAAAAATAAGAAAGCTGTGTATGTGTTTTCCCGTTTTTAACATTTACATTTAAAAAATGTTGTACATTGTTTATCCCAATCCTAATCTTGGCTGTATTTATACATCTTTAAACAACAAACAAACAAAAAGAAAGCATAAGCCTGATTCTTGGCCTTCCCTACTTTTGAACTGAAATGGACAGTAAATGTTTTTATCATACAAAACTAAGAAAATATTTTTTTCTTTCCTTTATTTCTTCTTGTTTATATAATAGGAACTTGTATATATAATACATACTGTTTATACTGTTTTTATAGGTAAAGCAGGTATAGGTAAAGTCTGTCATGGACATCTGTTGGTTTGTGGAACAAGGCTTAGAGAATTTGTGGCAAATATTGATGAAATAATAATAAGTAATATCACCGTGGTATACAGATATCCAGTTAAAAATAGCTATTGAATATTCATGTGATTTGTGTTTATTAGTAAAATAAGGTATCGTCTTTATTTTTACCATTGTGTAGCCTATACATCATTTTGGGGGTCGATATGGAGGTTTATGCCTTTTAATATCTTAACATTACGGATATTTAAACTGTTTATGGTGGCCATAACGAAAAGCGACAGATATGTTTTGACCCTGTGTACATAATATCAGAAATTAGAGTTTAGTTTGGAAAGCTTTGATTAGCTAACAGCTATGCGTAAATACAACGCAACGGTGAGGTTTCTGGTGTGTAGATCACGTGGTACAGTGCTGGACCAATAGAATTGCGAGTCGTGTTGTACGGCCCAAATATTAAAAACGCCAATATCAGTTTTGGTCATTATTAACGGTGCTGTCAACCGGAGTGAGTAAAACAAGCGCTAAAATATGGTGTCTTATTACTATTTGTTTAAAATAATGTGGCATGTTTTAATAATGCGAATATGTCTAAAGAGCTTTTGTTGATAATGCGATAGAGTTATCATGTTAGACATCATGTTAGCAAGCGGGCTAATCGAGTTCATCAGTCTTATGAAAGTTGGTTTCGAAAGGCGTATTGCTGGGGGTTTTATAATGTCTCATTCTTAATGAATGAAACAATATAAAGAAAATACATTATATTGTCAAAGAAATCGCAAACATGTACAGAATATTGTACATACATTGGCAGACGCAATATACTAAATATTATTACCATAAACAATATCACGTATGATCTATTTAATGCAGTGTTATTAAATAAATACATAAATAATTAAACAAAATACATTTTTTATCATTTTTAATATTTTTATTTGATTATAATGTTGTTTAAAACAGCAATGGGGGCGTGGTGCATCATGACTTTGCATTTGTTTATTTTTTTCTGAAATATATACAGATTTATTCTATTATATTACAATAATTATTATTAAGAGGTGTGGATCTTCTCTATGAATTAGTTTGGTGTTTAGACAAGCTTAACTCACAAAATCCTGCTCTCTCTTCCGTCCTCTTATCAAACAGCCAGAAGCATGGCCATGGCACAGTCAACACTGATGTTCGCAATGTGCATTTTGATGATAACAGAACTCATACTGGCCAGAAAGGACTACTATGACATCCTCGGTGTGCCAAAAGATGCTTCGGAACGTCAGATCAAAAAAGCTTTTCACAAGCTTGCCATGAAATATCACCCCGACAAGAACAAGAGCCCCGATGCGGAAACCAAATTTCGAGAGATTGCAGAAGGTTGGTTATATACACTACCTGTCAAAAGTGTGTAGTAATTCAAAACTGTTCATGTTTTTGTAAGAAGTCACTAATGCTCACCATGGCTGCATTTATTTGATAAAAAGCTGATATTATTACAATGTAAAAAATTATTTTCTATTTTAATATATATACAAATTTAATTTTTTCCTGAATTTTCAACATCATTACTCCAGTCTTTAGTGTCACATTATTCTTCAGAAATCATTCAGATATGTTGGTTTGGTGTTCAGTTATTATCAGTTATTGTTGATGCTCAAGTCTAAATAATAGTTGTTATTATTATCAATGTTGAAAACCGTTTTTCTGCTTAATATTTTTGTGAGAACCATGCTAAGTTTTTCAGGATTCTTTGATGAATAGAAAGTTCAAAAGAACAGCACTTAGATAGAAATGCATTATAAATGTCTTTGCCATGACAGGAATAAATTACATTTTAAAATACATTAAAATAGAGAACAGTTATTTAAAATTGTAATATGTAAGTAACTTTATTTTTGTTCAAATACATGTAGCCTAAAAAAAACTTTGTTGTTTAAAGCAAAAATTCCTCAAATTGTTCATTCTGTTATGCATACATTTTTAACTCGTTCTGCAGCATACGAAACACTATCAGATGAGAAAAGAAGGCTGGAGTATGACCAATCAGGATACAATACATTCAGCAATGAAGACGTGAACAGAGGAGGAGAGCAGCATTTTCATCATTCCTTTGATTTTAACTTCGACGACATGTTCAGAAACTTTGACATCTATAGCCAAAACAGGCAAGCTCGTTCAAAAAGGCACTTTGACGAGCACTTCAGGGCCCACCAGCAAGCACTCAACCGCCATAAGAGACACTCCCAGGGTACTTTTGGTGCCGGAGTCTTTGAGGACATGTTTGAAGACATGGAGAAGATGTTTACATTTGACCGACACATAAAAAAGACAGAGAGCAGGTTTCAGGGCACAGCCAAACAGCACTGCAGAACGGTGACCCAGCGAAGAGGAAACATGGTACACGGATTCACGGATTGCACCTCATCCTCCTGAACATCAGAGTGGGCCACAGATCGGACCATCACGCTTTTATTTTATTAGATGGAGTGATGGAGTTGTTAATTTGCTGCTGTGATAAGTGGGGTTTGATTTTACATGTGACTGATCTCTTATTTATGATGATAATAGGTGTGTTTGGAGTTTTTATTGGTTTGATTGAGATTTACAATTGACACTATGTTGGATAGTGGCCTCTTAAAGGAATAGTACACCCCAAAATGAAAATTTGCTGAAAATGTACTCACCCCCAGTACATCTGAGATGTAGATGAGTTTGTTTCTTCATCAGAACAGATTTGGAGAAATTTAGCATTAGATCACTGGCTCACCAGTGGATCCTCAGCAGTGAATGGGTGCCGTCAGAATGAGAGTCCAAACTGCTGATAAAAACATCCCAATAATCCACACAACTCCAGTCCATCAATTAATGTCTTGTGAAGTGAAAAGCTATGTGTTTGTAAGAAACAAATCCATCATTAAGGTGTTTTACCTTTCAACCACCGCTTCTGGCCAAAATATGAGTAAATAGTCCATAATAACGCTTCATCCAGTGAAAAAGCCCATGCCCTGTTGACCTCTCACATCATTTTTGTTTAGAACTGTATTGGACTGTTTTCTCTTGTAAACAGTGCTTAATCAGTGCATATTTCTCTCCTGATTCAGATAAGATGACTTTTTCACTGGAGAAAGCAATATTATAAACAGAGGACTCGTATTTTAACAGTTTGAAGTTGAAGTTCAAAAACGTCTTATTGATGGATTTGCTTCTTACAAATATGCTGCTTTTCACTTCACAAGACATTAATTGTTGGACTGGAGTTGTGCTTTTCAGCTTTCATTCTGACGGCACCCATTCACTGCAGAAATATGTATTTTCAGCATATTTTAATTTTTGAGTGAACCATTCCTTTAATAGCCTGAGAGTCTAGTTTTAGGGGTTTTATGAGTTTGCTTTCATCCCTGCGGCACTAAATAAAAAAAAATGAAATGGTCATTAATTTGTTAATAATAACGAACTACATTTTATGACCCTCTAATATTAGTGTGCATTAATGTTTAAATTGCACTTTCTCGATCATATGAAACAAGTTGTTATACGCACAAAAAAGAAATTCATGCCTAGTTGGCGACTAAAATCTCCTACTATACTGAAAGAACAAATGTGCTGAAATCCTGAATCATAATTTGATGAAAGCATCAGACCGATCATTTAGCTCTTCCATTATCTTCTCTTCTTATCCAAGGTTGTATAATTTGTGTTGGTGTTGAATGCTCATGGTATGGATCTTTGAGATTCACATCTTCATGAACTGGTCTCTTATTTTTATGTGAAGCTTAACAAATGTTAATAATATAGTTCATTATATTGAAGTCGTTTCTTTCAAACTCCGACTTGTTAGATAGAGAGGTGCCTTTCCCACTCATTGTGGTAGACTGAGTTTAATGTAATCAGGTTGGAGCACTTTTATGACCTCATGTGTATTATAGTTTGCATGGCTGAGAGAAAGTAGGTCTCAGTTTTTGTCGTGGACATCGGTCACCCGGTTGGGTTTGTAAACAGCTTTTGATTTAGGAAAGTACAACAAGTCTGACGTTGTTCTCTGAAAGTGTATTTTGGCTGAACATGGAGTATGTTTGTAACAAAACATACGAGTTGAGATTGTTTTTATACGGCAGCGTTACCCCTAAAATAAAAAAGGCAAGGGGAATGTTCCAACTTAGCATTTGCCTGACAATGTTTTTTCTTTTTGTAAGTACGATGTAGAACTCCGCTGTGCTGCTGTATGACTTCACCTGTGACCTGTTTTGTTGAATAATCCTGTGCAATATTTAAAGGCAGTTCTCATGTTGTTTTAACTGTTACCCGCTGACATTGTTGTTATGAAATGAGTCTCGGTAGACTCATCTGGCACTTTCTTTATTGTAATCCTATGGATGAAAAATAAATCTGAAATGGACAATTTGAACCCAGATGTATGTATACTTGGGTTAACAATAAATAGAGTTGAAAATTATGTGTTTGATGGACTTTTTCTTTAGGATTTTCATATAACACAAATATATATTGATATGGGTCAGGAGCATTTTTAGCACCCTCAGTAAACTTGAATTGACATAACATTTTGATTGTAAAATACATGTTTTGTGTGTACAAATGTTACATTAAAAGGCTCTTATCTATATATATAGAGAGAGAGAGAGATATATATACTGTATATATATTTAAATGTTAATCGACTTAAAGTTAGTAAAAACATTTATCTTGATGTAAGTTATAGTTGTTCAGATAACAATATTAATAACACCACGTGTCTACATGTGTCATAATTTATGTAATATTGCCACTTTAACTGTGTTCAGCGCTACCTCAACATGTTTTCCTAAAGCTCCAAAATATTTTTGTTGCACCCCATGGTTACGGTTGCCTTGGCGCATTCACTCAGAACAATGCTTGGAAATGTAGTTTATTTCCAGAAAATTCAAAAGTGGGCCAACAGCTGTTGTCTCGTCTAAAACTACAAGTCCCATAATGCACCGGGGCTCCGTTTTTTCCGCGGCCGGTTCATGGTGCCACTGTGAGGGACATTGGATGACTTTGTGCCGTGTTTAGCCGGGGTATTCGCCTTAGCTCATTCATTTTGACAGGGGAAGAGATCGTCAACGCGATGGAGGCTCTTATTCCTGTCATTAACAAACTCCAGGATGTTTTTAACACTGTCGGGGCGGATGTTATCCAGCTGCCTCAGATTGCAGTGGTGGGAACGCAGGTAATGTTTTAGCTGCGGTTTCCATTCAGATTGAAACAGGTCTATGGCAGTGTCTCAAAACCTAGTGAGGTACCTAC